CACCCAGGATCGCGACATTGGGGATGTCTCGAAAACACGCCCGACAAACATGGCGGTACGCAAGTCATCCCTCCCTCCGGACTGGGCTCTCATGGGAGCACAGCAGTGCCATCAAGGGGCGACGCAGGATGAAAATGAAAGCAGGCAGCAGGGCCAACTCACAGCTAACTGGCAGCTGCGTTGCGACGTTTCACAAGCTCAACAGCTCACACACAGCTGACGTGTTTCGGGCTTAAACAGCCCAGCAAACCTCAACGAACCACACTAAGTATCACAAACCTGCTTGCAGTTTTAAGCGAACTCTACATAGCTCGACGCAAGCGAAAAGGGTGTGAATCGCCTCATGTTCGACACGAAAATGCAGCAGCGCCGAGAAAATAAAGCCAGGAAAAAGGCAAAGGCAAATAGATGGAGTGGATCTTTCAAAATCAAATCTCACGTTGGGGTCCGCTGCGCCGCCCTCTCCCGACTCGCCGCCGCCGTCTGCCGCTGCTGTTCCTTCTGCTGCCGCTGCTTCATCCGCCATGGGAGCATCTCCTTCCCCGTCCGCGACATCCTGCACTCCCGATCACAAAAAAAAAAAATACGAAAAGGTTGAAAAAACTTACAAACGTACATCAGTACCACACACGCCTGCTGGTTTGTTGGCCACTGCCTTATATCAACTGTGTAATCTAGTCGGCGGGAGGCCACTGCCGCCTTTGCTTTTTCCGAACCCGAGCGTTCTCTTTCGGACAAATGCGCACCAGCTGATAGAGGAATAACATCAAAGGGGGCTCCGTTGCGCACATCACAACATCCCTGCCCCCCCTGTACCCTACCCTCCTGCTTTATACTACGTGCTGGGTGGGCGCACAATCCAGAGCATGCTTCACTGGATCCCACCGGTATACATTATTTTTCCGTTTCCCGTGGACCCTTCTATCTCCTTGTCCCGTGGAACGTTCCATCTCCCCTGTCCCGCGGGACCTTCCGTTTCCTCTACCCGTGGAACCTTTCATTCCGGGGAAAGAGCACAAGCATATCCGCTGGGTACCTCCCTCGCCGCGTCGCGGCCCATTGGAGGCGTTTGTCCAGAACCAAAAACATACCGAACATACAAATATATTGCTTGCCTCGTAGGGGTTGAGGGCGCCGGCCGACTTCGGCGGTGTTTCTCCAAGCAACAAGAACCAACCGTTACAAACTAAGGAAACGTGTTGCGTGCCTCGTACTTGTGGGGGGATGAGGGCGCCGGCCGACATTTGGAGGCGCTTATCCAGAAACAAAAACCAACCGCTACAAAAACTGTAAAATGTGTACTTCCTTCTTGAAAATACCTCGTAGGGGTTGAGCGCCCCCGCCGATGTAGAATGTCGTTGGCGGCCCTCCGACATCTTGAAGAGCGACGCCGCTCCTCCCGCGGCAGTGTTCCTGACGAGAAAATAAATAAATAAATAAATAAATAAATAACCTGTGTGTCAAAACATAAAAACCTGTACTGTAGTTCCTAGGGTCATGCTAGGAATGACCGCTATATAGGATTTAGTGTAGGGGTTCTTGAGCGAGCTCACAAATGAGGCTCAAGTTCTTGGATAGAATTGAGTTTTTTCGAGGCTGTATCGATTTCGTAAACTAATACCAACTTCTGAAGTGCGGGTGCTACAAGCTCTACAAGCCGCAACGTGAAATCTTACCTACCGCAGATACCGTCTGTCTTGGGCCTTCTCTCTAGCAGTAGTGGCGGCTACGGTTTGAGAGAGGATCGAGACAAGACAGTATTGCTCTCTTCAATCCGGTTTTCTCTTAAACCGTACTGTGAAATGTATGTGTTACTCATGGCCACAGCAAGCCAGGTTTGACTCTCTTAAATCGGTACTTTATCTTAAATAGTCTCTCCTAAACCGTAGCCGCCATCTTAAATAGCCTCTCCTAAATCGTAGTCGCCACTGCACTGAGGAACAAGGGTCATCAACGCGTGTGTTTCGTCCCTGGCGGTTTCCGCCCCATGTTGAGGCGTCTCTTTCTTGAGAGACATAATAGTGGCAGTGGGCCCGTCGAGAAGAAGGTAGGGGGGGAAGTGCGGGACAACAGCACCGCCGCCCGATGGTAAAAAAATTGCAAAAAAAAAACAAGCAAAAATAACGCGGTTACCAAAACGCCGCCATGCCAGCACACCTCAAAAATGCTTCGGCGGTATAGGTGGACGCGGTGTGTACCATATCACTACAGAGAACCGCAACCAATAACCATGACCCCGAACCCCGCGCCATACACGCCGCAAATGCTGGATAGACTTCGTTCCAGCGCTTCTCCAGACACTTGGTACGATCGATAGACCCACGGCAGCGTAGTCGACATAGTGCTTGCCAACCACTGCTGCTGGTGCTGCGGAAGCAACTGCCGCGCCGCTTCTTACCGGCGGTCGCTGTTGAACCCCAGGCGCTTGGTGCTCTGCTCCGCAGCCGTCATGTTATCGTCCAACGCCGATCTCGGGGTCGAGGAGCCGATTCCGCCGCCTCCGTGCTGGCTCAAAGCCCCTCCGCCGCCGGTGGTGCTGCCGTGAAGGCTGCCTGTACGCTCTAGCGTGTTGCCCTTGAAAAGCGAAAAAATGATCGAACGAGAAGAGACACAGCCCATTATTGAGCCACACCAAACACAAAAATGAAGCAAAAACATAAATAGAAAAAAACACAAACACAACCCATATAGAGCAACACCAAACACAAAAATAAATGAACAAACAAGTACAGTCCAAACACTTGGAACAAACGCCAAAATAAAACAAACACTCGCAAAGGACGCGCCCAGTCTCGAACGTCGAATGGATGGATCGACCGTATGGCAAACAATGACGGAGGTGAGAGCAACGCATGACACCATACGTACTCCGACGTGTGCCACTATTATAGCTTTTCTATGAGTGAAACCAAAACGCCTTAAGGGTAGGTGGGACGTTTTTTTTTTTTTTGTCTTTGCTTCTCCTAGCACCTGTGCCGTCTACTCCAACCCGTGTGGTCACACTGAAGGGTTCCTCTCCCTGAGGGCGCCTACCCACCCCTCCTGTGGTACGTTGCCTTCAATTATTTATGCGAGAAGAGTGCAGCGCTCTTTTCCCAAACACAAAAAAATAAAGTGTTGTGTCGCGTTCTGTGAAAAAAAAAAAGGGGGGGGGGGAGGCATTCGCACCCGTAGAAGCTAAATCTACGGTAGAAGCGCGGCTGTTACTCATAGGCAACACGGTAATTTTTGAGCGCAAACGTGTACCCCGGGAGTTCACAAAGGTTGGAGTGGCGGGGCGGGGGGAGGGAGCTTCTGAAACAGCATACTTGGCGAAGTTCAAAATAAAACCATGGTGTGAAAATGCAAGTAAGTACCCAAACTGAACGGGAGTTTACTGCCGTATGCAGATACATACCAGGTGAGAAAAAATGGCCGAATCGTGTTGGGACCCCATCTCCTGCGTGTAGCCCCGGTAGGACGCGTTCAGAGGCCGGCCTGTCTCCCTCAGCATTCTGCCGGAACAAGAAAAGGAAAAGAGACGTGGAAACGCGCGCGCGCGCGCCGGGGGATAGGGGGGGGGGGGTTACTTGCTGGCCACAGAATGGGGAAGGCGAGAATCCAACATGCGTTGGTGGATTCTGTACATCTTCTTTTCGGTCAAAACACCGTTCACCAACAAAACATACCATGCACGTACGTGCAGGTGCTTTTTCCAACAACGAATTCAATATATCGGCACGCTTTGAAGATACACACTTGTTTTTTCTGTTTTTTCTGTGTCTTGTGATTTGAGTCGTGTATGCATAAATTTCGTTGCAGTTACAATACGCCTTTTTTTGGTTCTTCTCTCATCTCACCTTCCGAGTGGCCCTTGGTCCCTTGACAGCGGCCCCAAGGATAGCCTCTTGCGGTCGTTCTCCGTGAAGGCCCCGTCGGGAGCAACCTGGATTTGAACAAAAAAGAAAGGCAGAAAACAACGAACTACAAATTTACGCAAACACGATGAGAACAATAAAAAAAAGGGAGACAAAAAAAAGTTTTATTGTTCACAAATCTTTGATGTTTATCGACTTTTTCACCCGTACACTAATCGGTGGTTCCTGCAAGGTCCTACAGCAGCTCGCCAGCAGCTCAAGCGTGCCGTGGAAGCCACTGCCTCCGCCATTGCCGACGGCACCGCGTCTTCACTCGCCTCGCCCCCTCCGATCTCAATTGCTGATGCAGGCAACGTTATTGTAGTGGAAAACTGTTTTTGTTTCGCCGTACTACAACGTCGCATGCACCAGCAATTGAGATCGGAGGAGGCGGGTCGAGTCAAGACGCGGTGCCGTCGGCAATGGCGGAGCTGCTGGCGAGCTGCAAATACCCTGCAGGAGGCACCGATTATGGACAATACTCGAGTCGTGGCAATCTGAGTGATAGCGCGGGTCGGGAAAGGCCACCATGACTATGCCCCAAACGGCCTGTCTTGGTTTTGTCATCACGCAATCTGCATTTTCAACAGTCGCCAGCTGTTCTTGCCTACCGGACATCTGGTTAACAACAACGCCCAACAACCGACAACACCGACGACGACGACGACAACAACGACGACAACAACGACGACGACAACAACAACAAACGGAAGGGTCGTTTCTTGCCGGTGTAGAGCTCCTGCGGCGAGGACAACGACGACGACAACAACAACAACAACAACAACAACAACAACAACAACAACAACAACAACAACAACACGACAACAACGGCGACGACAACACCAACGACGACGACAATACCAACGACGACGACGACGACAACGACGACAACAACAACAACAACAACAACAACAACAACAACAACAGCGACAAAATTTAAGTTCTCCCCGTCCTCCTTACCTCCAGGGACTCGATCTGCAGGGTGGTGTCGGGGATGACCGTGCTCAGGTACATGATGGCGGGGGTGTGCTCCTGTCAAGTCAAGTCACGCGTACACGCCACGAAAAAGACAATCGGCGGGGCAACCAACCGCGCGAGCCAGACGGTGACACGGAACAGAAAAAATCAGGGCAAAAGGAACACGGCGCGAGCTCAGCATCTGACCTCGGGGAGACACGCTGCGAACTTGGTGATCCACGTAACAAAAAAAGTATCCTCGGTTCGTACAACTTGGCACTTAACGCTGTGTTCGGTGCAGTTCACGCTGTTCTTGTAACGACAGCTACTACTGCTGCCAATCACAGCACAACCGCGGAGTGGTTCAGTTGGTATCTTCGAAACCTTCTGACGGTTTCGGCGTGGGATGAGTCTCGGCGCCGTGCCAAGAAGTGGATTTTTTCCCACAATTTGCCCAAAGAAGATTGGAAGGTGACCACTACTACCGTACATGTGTACGCAAACAATGTCGAATTCACCGGGAACGGAACGGCTGAATCTTGCTCGCCATGAAACATAAGGCGAGCATCGCGGAATGGAAATAGAGAAGGCAAAGAAAGCCTCCTTTGGTGGGGCCTTCCGCCCTGCGTGACCCCGGCTGGTGCGTTCAGCACGCACCACAGGCGACATGACGTAAGATACCACACCCCCGGGACCGACTTCTACAGCTCGAGTACCCCGCGGCCAAGAGAATGCATTGAATCAAACGAGACGTTTTCAGAAAGCCCTTAACGAGATGGTTCCCACACCGCCGTGTTTTCGGCACCGCTACTCTGTGTGCTGTGGAGCAATAGAGGACTTGAAAAAACGTCCAGCGGATGTGGTATCTCATGTCACCTGCGATACACACCGGACGAGGAAAACAAAAGACTGACCGCCATAGTAACCGGCACGGCACACGGAAATACTTTAACCACGTACATACACGTCTTGTACAAGAACAGCACAAAAAAAAATGAGTAGTTCCCCTTCAACAAGTTGCGAGGAACGACGTGCCATAGACTCTATCGGCAAAAGCGACTCCTCTGTGTCTCGTCTTTACGACGTCGGGCTCGTCTTGGTGAACAAATACTTCTCTTTGCTGCTACGAACACACACCAATCGGCATAGATTATTGTATTAGCAGCATGGTTTTCTGTTTCTCACCCTCGGGGCAGCGTTGATGATGGTCACGATGGAGAGGAACCAGAAGAGGAAGATGATCAGGTCCGCCATCAGCTCCGACGCGGGATTCCTGCAACAACAACAACGACAGCAACGTATGCGAACAGGAGGGAATGGTGAACACACGCATCAAGCCTAGACGCAGTAGCAGCAGGTGATTCTGCAACAACAACAACGACAGCAACGTATGCGAACAGGAGGGAATGGTGAACTCAAGCATCAAGCCTAGAAGTAGCAGCAGGAACGAATAGTAAACACACACCAAGCGATAGATAGCAGCCATAAAATGGTAAACACGCACACCAAGCCATAAAAACAGCAGCACGTCAGCAGGATCTGCCGGCCGTGTCTTAGAGCAAAAGGTCCCAACAGTACTCAGTTCCTCGTCTAGCCTAGGACGCACCCACCCAAGGCGGGAGCACACAAGCACAGAGGAGAAACTTCAAACATGGTGTGGAACCTGTCTCCGGCATGTGAGCCGGACATGAAAGGAGGAGGCCTATACAATACTTCACACCAAAACCACGGTCAGCAGTGCCACGGCTGCTACGATGCACATACGCTAAGTGTAGCACGACACACGAAACTGCCACCCACACACCACCCTGTGCGGACACCACAAAATCCTTGTCGGGGATGCGTGCGTCATAGTGCTGTGTACCTGTCTCTACCTGTCTGTCTGTCTGTGTCTGTCTGTGTCTGTCTGTGTCTGTCTCTGTATCTCTCTCTCTCTCTCTCTCTCTACACACACACACACTCTCGCTCTCTCATACATACACACTCTCTGCCTCTTCTCCCCGATGCCCCACTCCCACTCGCCTGTAGGGAATGCCCTTGGCGGCATACTCATAGAGCGAGTACATGGTCGACAGGAACGAGAACACCACCGCGTAGCTCTGGTGATTCCGCAAGCGAAAGAGCATCACCTGAAAGCGGTCGTTCGTACGAGAGAACAAGACGCAGGACGAGGCGGGGCAAATCGGCGAACACGAACAACGCACCAAAGTCAAAACAAACGAACAAGAGACAAAGCCTCAACCCCCTGCATGATGTGGACTCATGATATTCTCCAGGCATTCCCCGCTCCGAGCTGGAAACCGAGCATGAAAATTTAGCGGCTTGTTTTTTGACACCAACCCCCAAGAGCCGCAAGAATCGGCTGATCTACCCCCGATTTACCTTCTATTTCGTTCGCTTTTTTGTTGGTCTCTCTTGGTGTCGTCGACGAACGACTGCTTGTAGTTTTTGTTGTCGTTTGACATCGGTTGGAAATAGTGTTTTTGCGCTACTGTATCCTCTTGCGTTCTTTGTGTCTCCCGGGCCATTGCTACCTAAATTACAAGGGTATGTTCTGTAGGGTCTGCGTGTTTCTGCAGGGTATCGGCAAGTGCCACAGAACTCCCAGAAATATCCGGTAGGGCATCGGAAGTGCCCCATAACTCAACAGAAAAACGTCGTGTTTTGTGAGAAGGCCGTACAGAACCCACAGAACGTTTCGGGTAGGTTCACAAGTGTTTGCAGACGTTTTCTGTAAGGTAATTGGAGTGTGACGCTTGGACTTACTTTGCGTCTCGCATCACTCTTGATCACGGTACAAAACGCGTTAGTCACCTCCCGACCATCGTAATCAGCCAACCGAATCACTATTTAGCCCTATCGGGAACATCACATGAATGACGTTGACTATCATATCGATGACAGCGTTCAGTGCCAATATAGGCAGTCCGTCGTTGTGCTAGGGTCCGGCCCCAACTTCAAACATTAACTTGGCCCCATCCTCGAGTTTGCACTCAAGCGAGACCATCGTCGGGTAGACCGGAGGGGAGGGTAGAGAGAGGCTCTTATGTGTGACCACGGGTTGGAATAAACGGCACTAGTGTTGTGAGCGCTGAACTTGAAGTGAAGAACAAAAAAAAAAAAAAAAAAAAAAAAACACCAGCTACTGCTTTCTGTTGGGCACGGGCGAACCCCTAAGAGGCTAGCTGAGGGGACCGGAAACACGCTCGATTTCGGCGTGTTCACCTACCTGTCAAAATCAACACTGATGTTATAGCGTTTGCATCAACCTCTGGAAGTGTTAATTGCTACTTTCAGCAGCTCCGTTCAACCCAACCCCTAAGAGGCTAACTGAGGGGAACGGAAACAAGCGCGATTTCGGTAGGAATGGCCCGGGCGACAACAAGTATGCAATAGGATACAGCAAAGAACGTTTTCCAACCGTTTTCCAACCGACTTCAAACAAGAAAAAAAAAATGCAAGCTGTCGGTCGTCCACGACAACAAGAGAGACCAACAAAAAAGCGAACGAAACAGAAGGTAAATCGGGGACAGGTTAGCTGATTCTTGCGGCTCTTGGGGGTTGGCGCCGGAAAACAAGCCGCTACTTGGTTTCCAGCTCGGAGCGAGAAATGCCTGGACAATATCACGAGTCCGCATCATGCAGGGGGTTGGTTGAAGGCCAGACAAAACAAACACGTCAACAGGTATGGTTGGGTTCCTCCCCCCCTCCCCCCCCC